GCTTTAATCAAGGAAACAAGGTCGTAATACCTATAATTAGCATAAATCTATCCTCTACACCTTCCATCATGTTCACTCTGTCTGTAGCTTTGTGCAGCTTAATGGGTCTTGGCATTTAAGTTGTTTTCAAAATTCACTCAAGGTGTGTGTACCATGGCACCAAGTGCTACAGCAGACGTTCTGGCCAACTAAAGCTCTGAGCATGCCCAGATGTCTACTTGTGGCCATGTCTCTCCGCCAGCATGGGGCAACCTCTCCCAAGGCGAAAGAAAAGAACACACACATAGGTTAGGGACTGGGAACCTGAGGAGTCCCAGGCCTTCCCTTAGCCTCCTAAACTAAGCTAGTGAACTCTAGTCCTATTGGCATGCTCTCTTAAAGACAATGGCCAATGACTGCACAGTTGCAAAAGATTCCTGTAAGAGTCTGGAATTACAAGTTGCTGCTCACAAAGTAGAGTTCCTTAGGAGCTTCTTATAGCCTGCCTACTCCTCTTCCAGAACACAGGGAACTCTGGAGCTACAGTGCCACTGAAAGGTGAATTAAGGGTTACCCCGGGGCAAAGGGCCAAAGAAGAGAGTTTACAATAGGCAGTAGATCTCTTCACCCCTGCTTCAACCAAAATAGCCCTACAGCCTTTAAGGAACAATGTGGCTAAGTGCAGTGCGGTGTTCTGGAGTGGATCCTTGGACACAAAAAAGGATACTAGCGGGAAAATTGATAAAATTCAAAGTTTAGTTTCATTAACAATTTGTGCCAACATTAATTTTTTTAGTTTTGACAAATGTACCATGACAGGGAAAACTGAGTCAAGTGCATATGGGAACTCTCTTTATGATCTTTGCAATTTTTCTGGAAACCTAAAATTACTCCAAATAAAAATTTATTTATAAAAAATAAGAAATGGAACCATCACATTCCTCAGGAATGGAATATAAACTGCCTCCTCAGAATTGTTCTCCTCCAGATAAATAGGAATATGGGTAACAAATTATTAGCTACTTGCTATATTCAACAAGTAGCAAGGGAACAGTCAGGCCCTACAACTGTGCTCTGGCCACTCACTGGGGCACCTGGATGAGATGTTCATCTTCTGATAGAATCAATTTTCTATCATCATGCCTGGGTCTACTAAGGAAAACATAATGGCCAAAAGCCCAGAGACAAGTCTGGTTAAGCCCTCTCCAAACTGGGTCTGTATCCCTCAAGGAGCAGTTTTCCAAGCTACTAATCCTCTTCCAGGCAGGTAAGCAGGGGTCAGGACTCACTATTCTTGGCCCTGGAGGAGAGAACTTAAGGCTCAGGGAGGTTGGCAGCCCACTTGCCCAGGTAGGAATGAACAGAGTGGTGAGAGACCCATCCTTTTAGCATGGTTTCATATTTCCAACTGGGGGGACACCCACTGGTGTCCACACACACACATACACACACACACACACACACACAGAGAGAGAGAGAGAGAGAAGGCCCACCCCTGTCCAAGCCAGTTTAAAAGCAATCCTAGAAGTGTAGCGTGAGTGATCCACTGGAGGAAAAGGTATCTGTCTCTAGGCACAGTCTTAAGAAGACACAACAAATGGTCCTGGCATTCTGGAGCAGATATGTTTGTTTTCTCTTTCTAAATATGTAACAGGAAATCAGGCAGTTCACCTTTGTAAACCATTTGCATATCACTCATACATGAGCCAGATGGTGCCTCTTTGTTTTAAGAAATTAAAAAATTAAAAAAAGAATGTAGGGAGGAACTTATCTTCATCTCTCCTTGCTTTGTATACACACCATGGAATCTGCACTGGGCAGATGAATACTGGTGCATGGGAGTGTGTGCGTGCGTGCATGCGCACACACACACACACTCACACACAGAAGCCCAATTATCCTCATTTAACTGAATTAGGCACCAGAAACTAGCAAACTCCTAGGCTCAATGGATTTCCATAACCTACAGTAGCAGAGAGGTGCTGATTTGTCCTGGATGTCAGTTTGCAGAGAGAATCCTTCAGGGTTCTTGCTATATAATAAATCACTGCATTCCCCCAGAGCCTCAGCTGGTATACCAAACAGAAAGAAATGTTTTGTAAATCACCTGAACATCGACCTCACTCTAAGATTATGAGGGTTATATAAACACTAACCAGAAGAACAGGTAAGTACTTATGATCCAGTATTTCTATCTAAGTTGAAACCTTGAGAAGGACATTTTCCAGAGGTGGTCAACTTAAAGACCGTATTCCTCTGGGGTCAGCTGCATGATGCAAGTTTATTTTCCAGTGGTCAGGAGGCTCTCTTCTCTGACCTCAGAACTACATCTGGAAATCAGATTATCCCTGTGGCTTTCCTGCCTTGGGTATGAAAGGGGACTAAGGAAGATAATATAAGCAATGGTTTATCCAGTAAGTAGTCTATTCCAGGCTCTTTACACAAATTAACTTGCTTAACACCAAAATAGCTTCACAAAAGACTATGTTTATCCTCATTTTTAAAATAAGAAAATTAAAGAGAGTTTAGAAGTAGTGCGTTGGGGTCCCATGGCTGCTAATGGTGGCATTAGGTAACTTTAGATCCCAATGCAGAATACACTTGTTACCCTCGTATCTTCCGATAGGGATAACAAGACTTCAAAGTTCATTACTGATGTGACCTCTGGCAAATCTACTTCTGCCTTTTATTTTACAGAAAGGGGGGGGGGGCTGCACATACATTAGGACATTGCGAGCAACTGAACATGAATATATAATACATGCTGCTCTTGGAATATGTAGAGTATAATATCTACCCACCATCAGTGGGATACGCAGTTTTCCCGTGGTGCACTGGTTTTTTTACTACAATAACTCTCTTTTTTATTTCATATTCCTTGGGACCAAAGACATACATTTTCAAGCCAACTGGCCTCAGCTTACGCCTGGCTTAGAATTCACGAAAAAAGCAACTGCAGATACCTGAAGAGTGGACGTTTTCCACCTCACTCTCCCTCAAATTCCAATCAGCCCTGGTGCCCACAGGAAGGAGATGGATTTACCTGTTGTTGCTCTCCCAGGAGTAAAGAGCATCAGTTCCCCATTGTTAAAGCAAGAATAAAGCAGTATCATTTGGTAACTGATAGAGGTGATTTTTTCCTTTACTCTTTTGAATCAGAATCAAGAAATAGTAAGTGCACTCCTTGAAGTGAGTTTGAAAGCTGAGTTTGCACACATTCTGGTCAGATATTATTTCCCAAGACCGTGGTAAAGCCAGTTGAGAACAGATTGGCATAATCACACATCTGCCTCACGCAGAAAAACGATGATCTTTCCTTTGCTTTTATCAACACCAACATAAATCTGAGCTCAGCCAGACAGGCCAGCAAACCCAATTACATAGAACGCAAAGGCAATTAAATGGTGCTAACTCCAGCCAGACTCAAGAAATCTGTGGCTCATGGCCCTCAGTAACGATACCAATGTCTCTCTGGGAAATGAGTGAAAAAAATTAGTCTATATGCTAAAGAAAGTCCCACTTTGATATTCCCTGGCAGGTCTGCCCTGGCCACCCATCTGTGGCTATTGCTATGTTATGCTCCCTTTTCCATATCTGGGGATGTTGGGTTGGGCAGGTGGCTCAACATAGGGCCCAGCTTGCTCAGACATACTACCTTCCCAGCTCTTTGGTCTTCTTTGCCTCATATTCTCTCATGATGGTATATTGTCTGCCATTCTTTGGTTGTACCATGCACAAATCACTTTCTAACCACAAAGGGCATTTCTTAAATATTTCATTTTTCTTTAGGCCATGGCTAAAATGAAGTGTCTTGAGTCATCAGTTTTAATGTCCTGGGCAATGTTGTTTGGGAAAAGCCATCCCAAAGCCACTCCATCAGGAGTTCCCAGACAGAACTGATCTCTATATGCCAACCCCAAACTCCCAGCCTCCTCGTCCATCATGCCTAGGCTGACAGGACAATCATATCTGAGCTCTTTGACTCATAATATGATCATTCATTCCCTACAAAGAAAATGAAACCAATGGCTACCATGCCTCTTGACCTCCAAAACTTTGTCCCGCCCTTTTCTTATACCATCTATCCAAACTCCTCACCCATTCGATGTCCCTGAAGTAAATCTTACACATCTCTTGAGGCATGTGGCTTGCAGTCATTTTTCAGAAATTATCCTATCTCTGCATCTCAGGCTGCACCCATATTTCCCTCTTTTGGGGCCAATGACATTTATCCTTTCCCTGGAAATAATAACACTGTCAAAACCACTCAAATCCATTAGGAGGGGATTTCCAAAGACTAAGGGAGAAAATAAATCTGGGGGCAAAATAAGATAACTATTAATGTATAGTAGACAACTGTACAGAAGTAAAATTGAACATGATATCTCCTCTCACAATCAGAAAGCTTTTGTTAAAGCCAACCTGCACCTCTATCAAAAGTTGGCAACAATAACATGCTTTCTTGTTTCATCTTTCCTAAATCACTGGTGTGATCATGCTCAGCAGTACATTAATGATTTTTGCTACTTTGCTTTGAGTTCTGACTTCTCATTAAGATCTGCCTTTGAAGACAAGATAAGCCTACCCAATCACCAGATAATTTCAGAGAATAAAATGTGTTGTGGGTAAGGCTGGATCAGGGACTGAGGTGGAAGATGTTAAAATGTAGCACCAAGTTGAGCTTGACTATGTGTGCATTTGGGCATACACATATACGTATGAGTCTGTTTGCATGAAGAATGAGTATTGATGCAAGTAAGAACACAATGCATATGTCATTGCAATGGAAGAATACAGTCCAGCTAAATGTCCAAGGGGAAGGGAGGCGTGAGCTATTGAGAGAATAGTACACAGGTATGTCAAGAAGCAGAAGTGGCCAAAGGATGACCATTGCATGTATGTCTGGGCACAGGTGCACATGTGTGTTCTCTGGAGTGACAGGGTTAATGGACAATGACAAAGACATGTGAGCGACGTGCTAGTTCTGCGTTTGAGTCCTGCAGCTGGAAAGGCCACCTTACCCTGTAGTAATCGGTGCTGTAGACATCTCTGGACATGCCGAAGTCCCCGATCTTCACCAGCAGATTGGCTCCAACCAGGCAATTCCTGGTGGCCAGGTCCCGGTGCACAAAGTGCTGGGAGGCCAGGTACACCATGCCTGAGGCAATCTGACTGGCGATGTGGAGCATCTGGGAGAGCCCCAGCTCGCCTTTCGCCTGGCGTGGCTGCCCATCCACAAGAATCATAGCATCCGGCCCATGGGCCCTGTAAGGGGTGGGGGAAAGACAGGGGACAGAGAGAATTCAGGAGATCAAAGAGAATAGTCTTCCTGATGCCCTGGTCTCTGGACTATACCCAGACATGAATAAAATCCCTCTTAGCCTATTTATTGCCTAGTTCTATCTACCCAACATTCCATATGTGAGTGTGGATGGGAGTACAACCAGGTTCCCAGTTAAGATGATGCAGACATATTCTAATGGATCAGGAAATACATCTACTCTTTTATATATCTTAATACTCTTCAGGAGTTTCCTGGGTTCTAGATATCTACTACAGAATCATTAAAAAAACAAAAAACAAAAAAACAGCCATCTCCTACAGAGTGCTTACTATTCCAAGCACTGCTTTAAGGATCTTAAATCTATTAATTTACTTAATCCTCCCACTCCAATTTTGAGATAAAGAAACAGAGGTACAAAATGATCAGATCACTTGGCCAAAGTCACAGGAGTGCCACAGGGCCTTGGGGGTAATGAGGAGGCAGATTGAAACCAGGCAGGTGGCTCTAGAGAGCTTTAAACAGTCAAGGAGCATCATCCCAGAGGGCTAGTTGAACAGATTCCCAGGCTCCTCCCCCTATGATTCTGATTGGCTAGGTGGAGCTTGATCATTTGCATTTCCCACAGGCTCAGGTGCTGAGGTTGCCCAGTGGGAAGTCCACACTGTTGGTTAGCAGGGGTCTTGAGTCCACATTCCTACCCTGACCACCACGCTGCCTAGGACTGGGTAACTTCTGTTGGTGGCAGAACCTGATGCAGAGACCCTATGTCCCTGAATCCAAGGCCTCTAAAGCCTTGGTTGCCCCTTCATCCCAAATCAAGGCCCGGATTTGTTTTCCTAATGCCTTGCCTTGTCATATCGGTCACTTTCAGTATTCACTCTTTTTTTCCAGAAAGCCCAATGAGCCGTAACCGTACCCAGAGCCCTTATTTATGAAGTTGTGGACCAAGGAGCCCTGGTATACCGAGAGGCCTAGGCCTGTTTTACTGCTTCTCCAATTTCCACCGAGAGGAGTCATTAAATATGAACACATTCATTTTACTGTCTCCCGTGGGATCTGCCCAATTCAACCCTTTGAAAGAGAGCTACTGCATCAGCTCACAAAGAAGGGGGATCAGCCGTCAAGCCTGCACTCCTGTCTACCAGGAGAGGACCCTTCAGCCTGCCCCTAAAAGCCACCAACTGGCTTCTATCCTCTATTTCTCCTTCTATCAGGAATGACAGTGGTACACAGAGGTACCCAGGAGCTCTCTGTAGCTCTGTGTGTGGCACTTGGGGCTATAGGGAGTGCCGAATCTACAGTGGTGGCTTGGGGGAAGATGGAGCGTGTCCCTCTGACCATTCCAGGGGGATGCAAGCACAGCCTGAAGATCCTGAATACCGATAAATAGCACTGACTGTATTAGTAACTGGTTCCAGTTCTGATAAAACAATAATTGTAATAATTTAATAGTAGCTATCATTGACGGAATACCCAGCTACATGGAAAACTCTTCCAGGTAGTTTACAAATATAATCATTCAGGACTCATAACAGCAAACCTCTGAAGCAGTTATTAATAGTCTTGTTTCCTAGGAAAGAGAATTAAGGTTTAATAACTTGCCCTAGGTTCATCAGCAAGATGTGACAAATTCAGGATATGAACCGGAGTCTATCCTATGATAAGGACTAAGTTCTCCAAGAAAGGAATAAATTTCATTGTGAAAATCCAAGTTCAGGAGGTTCAAAACATCCTTCAGTTACTTTCCGTGTTTTGGAAACGCAGCTCATAAGAAAAGTTCATTATCTACTACAAGCCCTATCCATTCCTCCTTAAACCAGAGCACCCAAGGAATGTTTCACTTCAAGGAGATGCTCATCAATATTTGGTGAGTGTGCCACAGTGTTCTATTACCTACATTTGAATTCTGAAAATGTCATTATGAGCCATGGGATTCAATGGAACTCAAAGGTGGCTAAGACCGCACCCTAAGTGTCAAGGGTCTGATTGTTCAAACCTGCTTCCTGGGACCCTGAATTCCACAGAGACTCACACATGGCTGCTCCTTCCACACCTGGGCGCTACTTGGAAGTGGCAGATGCAGGAGGTGGATGAGTATTACTTCTGCTTTAGTGGTGAGAAGCTGTCTTCCCTGGGGAAGATAGAGTCTGCCCCTTGGCCCTGCAACCACATCCAGAACTTCTGGCTGGGGTTCCAGTCTCTTACCAGTTCCATCAAGAGCATCTCAAAATCCAGATGATCTAGATCCAGGTCTGGGAAACCCTCTTACAACAAATCCAATCTTTCCAAAACAGTGCCATCCAACTGAACTTTTTTATTCATAAAAATATTATCTACTGCACTGTCCAGTATGGTACTCACTAGCCACAGGTGACTACTGAGTACGTGAAACGTGGCTAGTGGGAACAAGGAACTGAATTTTTAAATTCTATTTAAGTAGTGTAAATTTAAATTCAAATTTCCATATGTAGCTATAAGACTGGACAGCATGGTTATAAATTTATCCAAGGAAATCTGCTCTTTTTTTTCAACCATTGCTGCCTCCTGATGAGCTTGTAACCTTGTACCTTCTTATTCATCATGAAAAAGTCTCTAGCAAGAAGTTTTCCAGGAGGGATATAAGGTATGAGCTCTGCTCTGCAACACAGAAATGTAAGGCACAAAGTGAGAAAGCTATTCAGATCATCAGGAGAAAGGGTGGCTCTAGAGTCTCCCAAGATAAGAGGTACAGGCTGGTAGGCCCTCGGGGGTCCCTCCTCGGACTCATTCCAGAGCCTTCTCTTGTGGCCAGTCTACCTTGTTATCAGGAAGAAGATACTCACTTGTCATGGCCCCCTCAATGTTACCCACTAGAAATCACTAATGAAGCTTGCTTCTCAGGAGATATGGAAGATTGAAAAGTTGCTCTTCATTTCTAATCCCCAGACACAAGTGGGGGAATAATTTCTGACTCCAAGAGAACTATAGGGGTTCAGTGGAGCTGGGTGGGGAGCTGAGGGTTGGGACCACAGACCTTTCTTACCTGAGGAACTTGTTGAGGTCTCCATGCTTCATGTACTCAAAGACCATGATGAGCGGGTCCCCATCGCCACACACGCCATAGAACTTGACAATGTGCTCATGTTGAAGGTTGGTGAGCAGCTCAGCCTCCCTCTGGAAATCCTTTCGGGCAGCCAGGGTGGGATCCTTCAGGGCCTGGAAACAATGCAGGACATGGTTTGTAGCAAACAGAGGGCAGCCGGAAGGTCTGTCTCTTCCCCTCATGGCAAAAAACGTGCCCATAATAAAGACTGCTGTTCCCAATAAGTCATGTCATCCCTATTGAAACAGAAATCAACCTGATCTCCCATCCACTACCCAGTGATTTCAATCCATGTTCATCTTGGAGCCCTACACTCCCTCCGAGGTTAGTGTGAATGGCAGAGGGAGGGGGCTGCAGAGGTGGAAAATCTGACAAAGGTCTCTTCCCCTAAGGTCTCCTTCAAGAAATGGTGGTCTCATAGCTAAAAGAAATAGTGGAAAAACTACCACCCCATTGCTTTAACTCTGCAAATTAGCCTTTGCCCAGAGTCTAGCAGCAATCAAGCAGACAACATAATAAAGTCTCCTTCTTCCTTCTATCCCTTGAGTTTAGATTGTGAAGGATTATGTATTTGCAGAGAAGCACGAAGGTGCCTGTCCTCCTAGGAGGAAAGTGAAGGAGGCGCTGGAGGGTGAGTGGGGCTGCAGCTATGGGGAAGGCAGTGAACAGGCAGCAGCCGTAGGGGCCACCAGTAGCAGGATGGGGTAAAGTCCCTCCAAGTCCCAGGGTGCACATCTGGTGGTCACTAAAATGCCACGACGCAGCCCCTGGGAGTGGGGAGAACCCAGGGTGAGTGGGAGGCATCAGAGCTGCCCCAGGGCCCAGAAGACAAACGGATGAGCATTGGTCAGGAGGAATATCAGGTAGGAGTGTGGATGCTCCAGCACAAGAAGGGGACGGTGGGACTGGTGTGGAAGACTCCAGGCGTATCCGAGGGACCGTGGACAGGCCACTGCCATGGGGATGCAGCCACGTCAGGCCAGAAGGAACATGACCAGTGAAGGAGAGGGCCTGTTCCTGCAGGAAACACAGCTTGGGCACGTGCCCCGCACACATTTCTTCAGGCTTCCCCAACTTCCCCACGAGCTCAGAAGGCAAATGGGGCCAAACGCCTACTTGCTTCAGCCAACACTGGTTCGTAACCTCACTGGACACAACACGAGGCAAGGATGGAGACAGAGTGAAGTGTGCATGCTATGTTCGGATTAGGGAAAATCTAGAATGGCGTGAGATGGGTTTGTCCTCTCTGCCAAGCATCTGGCCGTTTTGGTGATTTAGGCAGACTGATCTCCCCTGTAGACTATGTTACTGCCAAAAAGCTCCCCGCCCCCCACCCCGCTCCAGCCAGAGGCCGTTCTCTGGCCACCACAATGCCCATTAGCTGAAATCCACAGGGCTGCCTAGGCTGACGGCGCTGCAGAAATGTGAATATGCAAAACTCGTATCTAGGGGGCCCATCAGACCTCATCAGTCATTAGCACACAGATTTGGAGAAACTGAGGCCCAGCCCTGTCTGAGAATCAGTCCACATTCACACATCTGAGATGACAGAAGTGTATGGTTAAACTGGACCTCAGCCCCGTCTTGGACCCCAGAGTTCAGCGGCAGTGTGTCTAGGGCCACGGTCTGTCAGCCAGGGGTCAAATCCACTCCAAGTTCCATTCTTTTCAAAATTTGGAGCTTTCACCAAAAACATGTTTGGTTAAGTGACCCTACTACTGACAGAAATGTTGGAATTGATCCAATGTAGCTTTCCCACATGATAGGTCAGAAAACTGAGGTCCAGAATGGGGAAGTGACTTGGCAAAGACCATGCCAAGAAGCCTAGCTTGAATCTGGAGCCCAGGATACGTTCCTGTCCAGCACACCTGCTTGAATTAATTTACCAGATGAATTGGTCACTAGGCATGTCCCCAAGGGAAGAGTGGGCACAGAAGTTAAACAGTGTGAAAGGGCAGAGGAGAAGGCCAGCAAAGGTGAGAATGTGGCCTGCTGGGAGAGGGGCCAGGCCCCGCAAGGATGCTGAGCTGGTAGTGCAGACCCCAGCCTGGAAGGAAGGTGGGAAGTCCAGCCCATTGCTGACTTTGCCAGCTCTGATCTCACGGGCTCTCCACTTTGGCTCTAGCTGCCTTCTTGGGGAAGCTACCCAGTGATGAAGGAGTAGGCTGCTGTGTGTCTATGTCCAGCAGTAACAATGGCATTTGTGAAGGCTTCTTGCTATGGGTGGAAAAAGGCAGGGTCATGGTTAGAGGAGTCCTCTTGGTGACCCAGCTCCTGAGCTGCATGGGCTGGGCCATGGGCAGAGGATGACTGCCAGTGATCTATTTATTTTCATGAAGAATAAGGGCGTGGGAGTGGGGAGAGGAATCCAGCATGGGTGGGATGGAGGACTACAGAGATTTATGTGAATGCTGGATTTATGAGAGGGAAAAGTAGATCAAATTTGGGGCCAGCCAAATGGCCTCTCTCCATCTCTGTAAATCATTCTCCTGCACTGTCTGGACACCAATGGCAGTCAGGGGATATTTCCGTTCTCAGCTCTTAAGCAGTGCCAGCTAGCGTCCTCAAGCCTGGCACCCTCCACTGCCAGGCAGACAGGGGCTCCTCATTTGGGAGACGGGGCACAAAGCAACCCTGTCTCCTAGTCTCTCCATAGCCTTTCTCTGCTGCCAGTTCCCTCTCTGCCTTCACAATGGGTTTTCCAGTTCCTGGGTCCAACCTGAAGTTCCTATGTAATTGACAAAAAGTTGGGTGTGGTATCTGGGGTCTGGGATGCACATGGCCCCAATGCCTAGGGATAGATGCATCTGGAACAGAGATGACAGGAAGAGATTAATGAGAAGGAAAATGAGCTCAGAGACTCTCCTGTACTTCCCACTGGCATCCACACCCAGCCCCTTCCTCGGGGCTGGGAAACCTCAAAGTGGATCACCGGCCAGTGGCACCAGAGAGCACGAGGGGCAGAACTGGTGCCCATCATGGCTGCCGACCATTGTTGTAGGGAGATGGCTCTCGCCAAGGGGTCTCTGAAGCTGAGGGGGCTCCTCCCTAGGTCCTTTGAGAAGTATCCATAGAATAGAGAGATCTGGAATTTGCCCCCAGATCATCTCCTTTCTTTTCCCTCCAAATTTGAGGACAATGCACTTTCTGGTCTTCCCCTCTATGCGCGTTGTGTTTCATGTCCACCCCAGCCCTGGGTTTCAGTGGGGCCACTTGGTCAGGTGGAAGGGAAGCTGTCCTGATGGCAAGAACACCCAAATTCCTCAACAGCGCCCAACTCTGTCAAGGTCATTTAACATCTTCATTTTGTCCAGCCTAAGGGCTCTGCTGCCTTCCAGTTTCCTTTTTCTTTTACTGGGGGTGTTACGGGGAGGGGTAGTTCAAAGTGTTTGGTTTCAGATTTCATTCGTATACCGAAACCCATTTAACATGTGCAGGGATACACACATTTCTAAACATTCAAACGTTTAAAAATTCAAATACACACACACACGTCGGTGAACACTGTTTAAGTATAAAAATCATCTTTCTCTTAGTCTGAAAATCCACAGTTACTTCTTGTTGACACTCCCAAATGATTTTATAAGAGAGGAAGATGGATAGTTATCACAGACACAGGTGCCTTTCTCTCATCTGTCTTCTTAGTTTAAAACTGGCCATTGGCTTCCTGTTATTTTTAGGATAAAATCCAAACTCCTTGGGGCACCTGGGTGGCTAAGTCGGTTAAGTGTCTAACTTCAGCTCGGGTCATGATCTTGCGACTCATGAGTTCAAGCCCCACACCAGGCTCTGTGCTGACAGATCAGAGCCTGGACCTGCTTTGGATTCTGTGCCTCCCTCTCTTTCTGTCCCTCCCCTGCTCATGCTCTGTCTCCCTCTGTCTCTCAAAAAATAAATAAATGTTAAAAATTTTTTTAAAAAATCCAACTCCTTAAGGCAATCATAGGTTCTAAATGTCAGGTCTCCCCATCTCTGTCTGCCTCTTTTCCTCCCATGCCCTCCTCCCCTTCATTCATTACACTTCAGTCTCATTGATCTTTCTGTCCTTTGGATCCACCAAACTTTTACCCACCTCAGGCCCTTTGCACCTGCTGTTCTTGTGGCCAGAAAAACTCTCCACCAAGTTATAGCCACAGGACTGGCCAAATGAACTGGTACTGCACATTACCTCTGAGGAACATCCTGACTGGCACCCATTATGCCCTGAATACTCATTGCTAATTGGCTACCCAGACAGATACTTCTGTCTCAGAGGGGAGCTTGCCAAGGGTCAGCTCTGATTGTTTCCCAAAATCAATTATGACCCATCTGTTAATGCCATTGCTTAATGTAACGAAACGTCATAGAAACCAATGAAATATGAGTACAGAGAGTTGGCCGTTTTTACGGAAACTAAGATGAAGAGTTTAGAAACACCTACTAAAGGTCAGTGTTCAAAAAGTGTTACAAACAAGAGGAATACCTATTTTTTAAGAAATTGGGAAAATGGTAAAAATATGAGATTCTGCACTAAAATGTTTTAAGTGCCTATTCCAGTGCAAACCAACTGCAACTGGAAATCGTGGCCACCCCAGACGAAAATACGACAACTCTCCAAACACAAAGGAACTCGAGAGCTGGCATTCGGACAAACTGGAAGAAACAGAATGTTAGATCCAAATAATTAAAACCATCAATAACCACAACACAAATTTCCTGCTGATGATATTAATCTCCTAGGAATAGGCTGATAGCGACATTAAAATAAGGCTCAAAGAGAGTGAAGAAATAATTGTTGCAAAAAAAAATCCCAAGAAGGTATGCAGCCAAAAGAGGGAGAAATAAAATTCAGAAAATAATAAAACCATGAACCAATTAGATATCTAGGAAGTCGATTTTATGTGGTTCATTGAAGTTAAAACAAAAGCCTCCAGAGACAGGGCAATGGCTATAGCAGCTTAAACCACAAGAAGAATTCATGACTTGTAGCAATGCAGAGGCTCCCCTGGAACAGAGCACGGAGAGACACAGGGGCCCTGGAAAGGCAGGGACAAAGGGCTCACCCCCTCATCTGTGAAGGGGAGGCCCTGCCTGGATCTGAGGTGGCCCCACCACTGATTCACTGCAGGCCCTGGGGCGAACTGCTTGGCCTCTCTCTGTTTGCCTCAGTGTCCACTTCTGTAACATGGGGATAGTGGTGGCGCCTAACGCTTCAGGCGGCTGTGAGAACAAAACCTTCACCAGCACACATTACTAAGAGTGGGGCCCAGCATATCATGAGCATCATCATCGGTATTCTCTGTTAGATGCTGCTGCCATCATCCTGAACACCCTCCTCCTCTTCCTCATACGTCCCTTCTGGGCTCTCATGTGCTAGAATCCTGGGATGTGAGCTACAGGGGCCTGTGTGTCCCCTCTCCTCTTTCATCCCCATGGTCTCATTCAGTGCCAGGCACATAGTAAGTGCCCAATAAATATTTATGGCATGAATAAATGGAGCATATTTTTAAGAACACAATCAATCTTTGAAAGTAAAATCTGAATTATTACAAAACTAATACCAGTGTTTCCTCAATGTAAGAAAAAATAAAATATTGCCAACCCCCCCCAAAGGGCCCCCACTGCATACCCCGCCCCTCCAGTATTCATTCTCTCACCCCAAAGGTAACCACTACACGGACTTACGGAGTTCACAGCCTTGGCTTTTGTAAAATAGTTGCTACCACCTAAATATAAATCCCCTACCACTAGAGTTCAGTTTTACTTGTTTTTTAAACTTTAAATAAGTGGAACCATATATATAGTTTTATACATACATATATATATATATATATATTTCTATATCTATCTTTTTTCATTCAACATGGTGTCTTTGAGATTTTTTATTATTGCATAGCTGTAGTTCATTCATTTTCCTTGTTGAATAGTTGCCCATTGTATGAACATACCACATTTATTTATCCATGTTGCTACTGATGGACATTTGGGGCTGCTTCCAGCTTTTGGCTGATGTAAATGCTTTATGAATGTAATTAAACAAATCTCTTGATAGATAGATAGATAGATAGATAGATAGATAGATAGATAGAAAAAAGACAGATGATAGATAGATGGATAAAAAGATAGATGGATAGATAGATAAGTAGATGGATAGATTGATAGATGATAGGCAGATATACAGATAGATAGATGACAGATGGATAGATAGATAGATAGATAATAAATAGGTAGGTGGGTGGTTGGGTGGATGGATGGATAGACAGTAGATAGTACGTAGAAAAAAAAGAAAGATAGATGATAGACAGACAGACAGAAAGAAAGGTGATAGATGGATAGATAGAAACACAAATGGTGGATGGATGGATGGGTAGATGATAGATAGATAGATAGATAGATAGATAGATAGATAGATAGATAGATAGACAGACAGGTGCATGGGTGGATGGACAGATAGATAGATCATAGATGATAGAATGATAGATGATTGATAGATGATGATAGATAGAAAGATGATAGATGATAGGTAGATAGATAGATGATAGATGGATGATAGATGGATGGATAGATTAATAGGTAGGTGGATGGATGGATACATAGATGATAGATAGGTAGATAGATAGATGATGGATGGATAGATAGATAAATAGGTAGGTGGATGGATGGATGGATAGATAGATAGATAGATAGATAGATAGATAGATAGATACTGGGTACAGGTCTAGCAGTATAAATGCTAGGTCACACAGTAAGGTAATATTCTAGAATACCAAACTTTTTCAAAATGATGCCTTCCCATCAGAGATTAGGAGAACTACAGTTGCTCCATATTTTTACCAGCACTTGGTACTGGCACCACTATGTAGTCATTCTGCTTGCCGTTCACTGGTATCTCAATATGATTCAATTTGCATTTTTCTGATGATTAATTAGGTCAGAGACCTTTCTCATACTCTTATCAGCTATTGGCTATCAGAAGAGACTCCTTGAGATCTTTTGAACAAATATATTCTCTGTCAAATGACTCTTTAAAAGTGGCGCCACCTATTTAAAAATACGAATCACATATTAGCAGTCTTGCACTACCTTATACACAAATCATGCTCTGTCTTGCCCTGCTCCCCTTCTTTCTTGGGTGCCTTTGGTCTTCCCAGCAGACTGCACGCATCTTCAGAACAGATGTCTGCTCTGTCTCCTCTACTGCAACCCCTGGGCAAAAAATTCTTGCCAATTGATTTAAATTCACAATTTTGGGAAATCCTAACCTTGGGTTACACTTGGATGTGTTCTCTGAAAGTCCACAGTTACCCTGTACCCATATGAGAACAACCTCAAGAGAAAGGAGCCTGCACAAAGCAGTAAAATCTAAAGAGGATGAGAAGCAGGAAACACCATTTTCTTGGCCGTTCTTCAGAGGAGATGAATGTCTTCTCCAGGGGCTGGTGTCTGGGCAGATCCCCTGGGCAGCAAATGTTGTAAAATCCTGGGGCCCTCACTGCCTCCAGGTTCCCAGACCCAAGGAGAGAAGACAACCTCTTAAAAAGATGAAAACAGAAACACGTTTTCTACATTATCCAATCTGGGTACTGTCCTTTAACGCCTGACCACTCAGCAAGGAACATTTCCCAAGGTTTGGGGCCATCACTTCATTTCCTGCTCAGAGCACAAAAATGTCCATTTCATTTACCAGTCCCCAGGCGGATGCTGGAATGCCCAATGGATTCGTGTCACCCTATAAATTAAAAGTTTCAGGGCAGTGCAGAATCCTTGTTTGGAGATAAAATTAGAAATCTTTCCACTTCCCTGGTCCAAGCTGTTTAAAGACTTTCTTGCTCATCTGACCATCCCGCATCTACAGAGGCACACTGAACAAATTTATTCTCAGGCTGTCCAGCAATAATAATGATCAGCTTTCACAGAAAAGATACTTTAGTTCCTTATTTATTCTCCAGATCCTTGGTCAGCAGACAATGTCTACTTTTGTAAAAAAAAAAAAAAATTATATATATGTATATATTTCTATAAATGTGTGTGTGTGTGTGTGTGTGTGTGTGTGTGTGTGTGTGTGTATTGAGCAGCTGTAACAGGTAGCATATAGCCCTCAAAGCCTAAGACATTTATTATCTGGCCCTTTTAGAGAAAAGGCTCAGCACCCCCTGTTCTAGGTGGTCAGTGCAAGCTTGGAAGGCCATATGTCTAAGCACATTCTATAAGACCAACATTGATAATAATGGTGATAATAAAAACCAGTAGCAAGTAGTCTTTATTGAGCATTTACTATGTCCTGAGTGATGTATGAACAACTTTACGTTATGTGATTTAATCACCAATGCTTTAAGGAGGAGGTATTCTATTTCTCAGTATATATATAAAGAAAGAAACTGAGGGCCAAAGATGTTACGTGTCTTGTGTGAGGTTGCCCAGCTAATCCGTGGCAGGGCAGGGTCTCCCACTCAGGCTCTCTGATTCCCCTGCTATGTCCGGGGGCTACAGAGCATTCGTGGAGGCCATCTGCCCTCTGGGGACAGACACAATCTACAGACACACAAGGCTATGAATACACAGACCCAAAAGTCACAGAAGCATGGAACTTTCATCGTGTGTGGTTTGGTTGGAGCCCTCGGTGCTAAGGGCGGGACCCTCTGGAGGTTCAGGTGAGAGCCCCCTCATGGGAGGCTGTATCTGTTGCTCTCAGCCCAGGACACCAGGCAGAATTCACCCTCCTCGCAGAGGCCCTCCTCTAGCACCCATGGAGGCCAGTCCATGCTCCAGAGCAGGACTCCTGAGACCTACTTGACTCTTGTCTGTACAAATCACATTCACAGGTTTGTCCAGCACTGATCGGCGGGAGAAGCTGTTCCCTATACGAGAAGCTGTTCCCTGCGGGCTAAGTACGGGGGCGGGGAACTGGTGGTAACAGTCTCTTCTCCACCACCCCACACAATTCAGCTCCGGCGCGGCTCGCTCAGCAAGACAAAAGTCCTGTGGTTACTGGGCCCATCTAAGTAGCTGCCAGAGGTGGTTACCCCAGGAGGTGGTTACCCTCAGGTGTGAACCTCGACCACGTGGGTGGGGGTGTAAGAGACGTTTCCAAGTTCACTCACTAGTCTCCCTGTGCTTAGTAGCTGGCTCTTCTCCTTCTATTCCCAGGGACGGCTGCTGCCCTTGAGCAGGGGCTCCCAGAGCCTCCTTGAGCCGCCCACTCTTCACTCACCTCTATTCCTGAGAAACGTCAAGTGACTTTCCAGGCACGGACGACACATCCTGGTGAGGTCACTGGGGAGGGAGGAGGGCCAGCTGGGGATCAGGATGAGCCCAGGCCCTTTCACAGGCAAACTTGCTCCTCAAGCCGCACCCCAGGCACGGCCCCCTTAGGTGCAGCAGTTCTGACTTCCAGAGTCAGAGAACGTTGGTGTGGGTCCAAAGGGAATCTCACTGACCTCAGAGCAAGGGCCTCTGATTACAACGGATAACGAATGCCAGTTCACCCCAGGAATGGAGCGAGCCTCTCCCTCCTGCTCCCCGGCCCCCAGCACCCCCTCCTCCCTCCTGGGGCCCGCAGGCCTCCGGGGTTTACCTTCACGGCCACGAGCATCTTGTCCTTGGTCGGGCTGAGGTTGTAGCACTCGGCCAGGAAGACCTTGCCAAAGGCTCCCTCGCCCAGTTCCCGCTTCAACACGATGTCCCTCCTCTTGATGTGCTGCACGTCTGTAGGAGGAAGACAGAGGGAAGAGCAGCTGATCAGTCCTAGGCACCTGTCCTCACGACAGCAGGGAGTTCTACTTCTGGGTCCACAGCAAGGGAGAGGCAGACGCGGCCACCACCCCCAGCACGGGCCCGACAACGGGCATCATGCTGCGGTTTCAGTCTGACCCGGAACCAAATCTCACCTCTGCCCCTGACCCACCCCTAACCTGTGTAAACCACAGCTGCCTCGGCTGGAAAACAGAATCAACAGGAGCTAAAGCATAGGATTCTGGAATAACTAGCTACAGTTGTTGGAGAGCGTGTGCATACATATGTATCAGTCTCAACGGCTACTGTCATGTAACAGGAATCCCCTGGGCATCATGCACGTTCTGGTTCAGTAGCTCTGAGAATCTGCACTTCTAACAAACTCTCGGGTGATGCCTGTGTGCTGTGGGCCCATGGACTGCACTTGAAATAGTGAGGTCTCTTGGGGTGTTCAAAATCGGGTTTGAATCTGGACTCCATGTCCTTGCTAGTTTTTTGGGCGTGGGGAAGTTATTTCATCCCAGAGCCTTGATGTCCTCATCTATAAAATGGGATTAACACCAATACCTTCCTTGTTGAATTCTTGTAAAGATAGGAGATAATTCCATTTGAAGAGTTTGGCCCAGCACCTGGGATAATGTGTGTGAACATGCACACACACACACAGACACACACACACACACACACACACACACTGGTTCTTTCTATACAAGAACGGCTGTAAGAATCCTAGCACGGTGGCTGGTTTGTGATAGGCGACTACGTGGCAGCTAAAATTATCCAGGGGAAGCCTTTACTTGACAAAGCCCTCTTCTCTAAAGACCGATGAGATCATGAAAGTCAAGTCCAGAGACGCCCCAGAACCACGTGTGGTCCATGCAGAGAAGAGCCGCGACCACCTCCGTGAATTCAGCAGACTACTTAATATCCGTCAGACAGGAGAAAGCAGAGGCGTCACCTCAGCCATCCCACATGTTTGGAAAGAATGCTACGAAGGGACAGTACGAGCAGGGGCTGGTGATGTAAGGAACAAGCCAGAGGTTGCTCACTGACCTTCCTATTGACGGTGCAGCGGGCAGGAGCCCATGAAACATCTGTATTAACATTACGGAGAGCACTGCAGGGCCAGGAAAGAAGGCTGACTCAAGTGACCTTGTCACGAACTGAAAACCGAAGACAGAGGACGATGGCAGACTGTCCCCGTGAGCGAGGAGACATGTGACAGAAACAGAGTGTGGCTGCAAGGCTCTGGTTAGTGTTTTTGTTGGCTTGGGAATTCCTTTCAGAAGAGACTATACAAATCTTTTGGTTTTTGTTTTTGTTTTTCCTATCCGAGCTCTTGGTCTCCCTACCATGTCCCAGATGACCGCCGGCGCGGGCCTGTGGGAGGAAGTATTTGCAGAGCATTTTTCTCTCCTCCCCCTCAAGGCAGAGCTGCCGGCTCCCAGCGGCTGGTGGCGGCTCCTCCCGGGCCACGTGACCGCCAGGTGGCTGCCGTGCACTGCAGGGCTTTGCCCCCATCTTCACAACAAGGGAATTAAAAATTGGTTCCCTTCTTTACACCCTCTGCTGCTGAGGAATGGTATTTGTTGGCCTTGCAGGGGAAGGCTAAGCAGTCTCCCACCGAGAGAAAATGGGCGGTCAGGACCTCTCTCGGGGGAGGCCATCTGCTCATCACTGCATAATCATTCCCAGGTGACTAGTGATAACGCACAGGGTCCCGCAAGGTGAGCATCCTGGCGTGGCCGCAGAGCAGAAATGGGCCCAGAAGGCAGCTTTCTAAGGCCACGTCCACACCTCTGAACATTGCAAGGACTAGTGAGGAATGAGGAGTCAGGGGCGCCTGGATGGAGCCTTGTGTCCTCCACACAGGATGGGCTTGGGCATAAGCCCAAGGACTCAGTTTCCTTATCTGTAAAATGGGTGTGGGGAGGTAACACAAGGTCTACTTACCTACTACACGAGCTATTGCATGTAAAGGTTTGTAATTCCTTAAGTCTTCTCAAGTGTCACACGATAATGGACATTATTTTACAAGCAGGGAGACCAAGGGACAAGGCAGGAGTCCCCAGCTGATGGCTGAAGACAGGAGTAGAATCCCGAGCGCCAGGACATGCCAGAGTAGCCAAACCACGAGGGGACGAGCCCCCTTGGGCCCCAGATGCCACCCCAGATCCCGGCCTCTGTCGGCACTGTAAGGGGGCGGTGTCGTTCTCAAACCTGAGCTGCCACAGAATCACCTAGAAGGCTTGTTAAAGCAAATTGCTGGGCCCTTCCTTCAGAGATTCTCATTCTCTACGTCCAGATTGGGGCCTAAGAAATTTGCCTTTCTAGCAAATTCCCGAGTAGTGCTGATATTGCTGGTCTAGGCACCCCACTTTGAGAACCACTGGGATGGGGGACATGACTAGGGAAGGAATTAGCCAGCTCTTCACAGATAGTCCTGTGTCCACAGAGGTTGTATTCATTTCTCACCACAAGGCCTGCAATCCTAGATGTACCGGAGGCCCCTCCTCCCCACCTAGCTGTGCAGCCTGGGCTGAGTCAAGGTCCCTCTCAGGGCCTCAACTGCTCGTGCGTGTGATGGTGATCATGCCTCTCTCGCCTCCTTACGTTCTGGACACATCCCCATGAAGGCAGAATTACAGTATACAAATTCCCGGATCCCTTGGTCCAACTCCGAGCTGGGCCACCTAACCAGCCCTGCGAGCTCTTCTCACTCATGGGAGCAGAATGAAAATGCAAGGGCAGAGGAGTTCCACAGAGCGCAGGCTCTGTTGTTCAACTTCCGGGCGGGCCTGGGCCGATTCTCGGAGCCCACTCCCTCCCTCAAAGGTTCAGGCAAGTTGAGCGGAGGCAGCAGAGAGGGGACCTTTTCTCAGCTCTCCCTCCACATCCCGGGGCTTGAGAGTCCAGAAGCCGCCGCAAAGCCCCAGCCACGGGAGGGGGCAGCATTAACAGCTGCGGGCCTTTTGCATCGTCGGGGGAGGGGGGCTGCGGGGAAGGTAACCACGGTACAGCGAGCACGAAGCAGAAGCCTCCCACGGACCAAAGTGTCTTCCCCAAATCTGCAAACAGATCTTTCTCAGAGACTTGGAAACATCCAGTGGCTCAGAATAAAACAGGCCTGGCTCACTCTAGTCGTCTTCAGGGAGAAGTAGTTTGAGAGCAATACCTGAGCTTTGTCCACAAAGGGGGTGGTGAGATCTACAAAGGGCACCAGGACGCATGGAAAATAAAAACAGATTCCATTCCACCATAAGTCCTCCCCCAGGAGAGGACCCCCCCACCCCAGCCATGGGGGTAAGGCCACAAGGCACCTGGAGGCTTCAGCAGAGAGAGGCTGGGCATGGGCCAAACACATAAGACAAATCACTTCCATGTGGACAGGCCCACGAATCGATAAGACTCGAGACTCCACAACACCATCCGACCAGCTGCTCCCCCCAAACCAAAGCTGGAAGGAGTAGCGCCAAGGGAAGTTAATCTGTGGCCCATCCTACTCTTTGGTCAATAGTCAATTCTGATGATAAGCACCGGAGACAAGGACTATTGTGCCCCATTCACAGATGAGAAAATGGAGGCAGGGGTAGCTTTCCAAAGTTCACAAGGCCAGAGCATGGCCAAGGAAGGACTCCTTCCTGTACACGGCTCCAGAGCTCATGTTCCTTTCATGCCTTTCTTCCATTCTGCCCTACTTGGGGGCCACCAAGACCATCCGGTGAACAGAAGGTGCCCTCCCACCTTCCCGTCTTCCAGCCCTACTGACTTCTCCTACCCTGTTCATCCTGGGACTCTTATCACCCAAGGCAAAAGGAAGGTGCGCCTTCCCAGAGGCTCAGGGGAGGAGGGGTGGGGTGGGGAGGGTGTGGGAGGAGAGGGCACTGCTCAGGCCCTGGGGATGGCTGGAGTGAGCCATTCCCATTTCTGATGTCCTCATGTCTACTTGGGCCTCTATTTGTGCTTATTTTTAGCTCACGTGGCGCTGCTCAGAGCTGCCTCTGGTGAAGCCATTTGACCCGCATGCCAAAAAGTGATGGATTCTCCTAGGAGGAGAGGGCATCAATCTCCTTTTACTGCCTGGCTGGCTGGCCCAGCAGAGTCTGGGTCACAAGGCTCAGACGCCAGGACACTGGCATGGGAGGAGGAGGGAGTGGGGTGCACAGCCCGGGCCGTGGGAACACCTCCCAATCCCTAGCGATGAGGGGCTGCTGCGGAGAGACAGGGGGCCAGTGTCCAGGAGGAGGGGTCTCTGAGAGGTGGCACAGGCTCCTGGCACTTTCTGGCCTGACTCCGCCCTAACTCCTTTCTTCGAGAGAGCGCCCATGTGGGTTCTGGCAAAGGAAGCCATCCGTAGGGTTTCTCGTTCCCGCAGAACACTGGCTTACCAGACAGAGCAGAATGAGGATTTCTGGGTTTCAGCTACGGCTCCGTGAACTTTCCTCTGTGTGAGGACCAAGATAATTATACCATATGCATGGGATTCACTTCTGAGAGGTCTCCCAGGCCCAGAGCAAGCTTGACCTAGGGCGACATCACTAATCTGAGCAGGGCACAGCCACCTCCGTTACAGAAGACCTCAGAGTCCATAGAGCTCAGCGGGCAGACTGTGGATATTCCCTCACGCTCCCTGTGTTCACCTGGGCTGCCTCACCCAGCACCTTCTGTGACCTACACAGATCCACCGGACGGACAGACGTGGCTGGAGATGCAGGTGACCACTGTTAGCCTCACCTCCACGTTCTGGGCAATCAGGGGTGCACCCGGCATACACAGGCTGAAGAGGAAGCATACGACCCACCAAAAATGGTGCGGCTGAAAAATCGAGGGCTTGGAAAAAGAGATGGGTCTGTACTTGAAGCCTGACCCTGCCACTCACTATGCACTATGCCATATTCACCCTCAGGCTCTAGTTCCTCATCTGTAGAATGGGCAGGTGACTTATCTACTTGGCAGAGTCTCAGGCGGATGGA